TTGATATTTATTGAAAATTTTGCTTTTATTTCCCAAGGGAATGAAAAAATAAAAGATGAAAAATTATCGAGAAAAAAAGAGAAAAAAGAACATTGTGTCAGTTGATATCTTTCTCGTTTTAGTTAAGAAACATTAAAATATATAAAAGCAGAAAAGTAGCAAAAACGTGAGGAAGACATGAAGATATCTGGAAAGACATAATGAAAAAAGGCTATCAAATAATTACGAAAAGAAAGAAAAGAAATGACAAAGTAGAAAAGAAGAAAAAGGAAGGAATCTGGCAAGATGAAAAAAGAAAAAAAAATCAAATGATTGAGAAAAGAAAAATCAAAGAATAAAGTAAAAAATGACTAAGAAATAGAAAGGAAGAACAAATAAAGAAAGAAAAAGGAGGGAAGAAAAATAGGTTGTATATGAAAGAAACGGCGTTTTAAGAAAAAAGAAGAAACGAAAAGTAGATAAAAAGAAAGAAAAAACAACGCAAAGTGATTCGTTTTCAAAAAAAAGGAACAATTTTCCGCCGGCACGCAGAGATAAATGCACATCTCCCTCATCCAATCAGTGATTACTTATGAGGTTTCGATTCTTTGAAGGTCCTAAAATATATCAGCTTATCCATTTTCCCTTGAATGCTTATCTTATGTTCAACTGATTTTGTTTTCACGAGAAAAACGAAACGATTTAATGCCTTTTTGAACAGCGATATTTTGCATTTGCTTTCCTCTTTTACAAATAGAGACATATATTTAGATATAAGTATTTTGATAGCATTCTTGAGAGTAAGGCTCAACAATTAGATTTCTTCAACTCTTATTCGCAAATTCTATTCTCTTCACATGAAATAGATAGTTAGAAAGAAAGAGAGTTAAATAGTAACTATACACTATAGATATAATTATGAATAAATAAATAAATAAATAAATAGAGAAAGAAAGAAAGAAAGAAAGAAAGAAAGAAAGAACAAACAAAAGAAAGAAAGAAAGAAAGAAAGAAAGAAAGATAGAAAGGCTGTATCAGCCGTGTTTGCTTTTGGTGTAAAAGCTTCACATGCTTCAACATTTTATTGCATAAACGTTTGTTGATTTTTATTGTTTACAAAATGGTTGCCAACCAATACCCAGTGGACCGACCTCATAAAAGACGAGCATTTTCAACAAATAATGAGCAATATATGACTGAAAATTAAGTAAAAAGTCTCTCCGGAATTATTAACAGTTGATCGAAGTTTCGCCTCTGACCCAAAACAATCATATATTTGCCATTTAACTACCCAAGTGACCCTTATTTCGTGTCGATCTTTCTATAAAGAGTTCATAAATCCTTGTTGGCATGAAACACAATTTGTAATATTAGTTTTATACCACGGGAAAATGGTCGCTATTAAAATGTACCTTTAACATTCTGTCGACCCGAAATCCTGAAAGAGTGTGGTCCGTTAGAGTTACCATAAAAAGGAAAGGAAAAATAATATTAAATTCAGATTCCTTTCAAATTGGAAATAACCTACAAAGTAGAAAACATAAAATTCTAAACAATCCAACTTTTTCCTTTATTTATTTTCTGAGAATCGTTCCTATTCTGTTTTCTTGGGAACTGCTTGAAACTTTATGTCGATGAATCATGAATTTCTTGACATTTATGTAGATTTTTCAAGATATACAGGAGAAATTTGAAATATCCATATAATTTTCTAAATATATTATGTATTAAAATTCTTTGGATTGTCTTTCCAAATTACCAGAGCATTCAGTTTAGTGTCATATTTTTCATAGTGACTTTCGACCATTTCTGGACAGAGTAATAAGAAAAAATAACTATTCCCATACTAATAACATTTAAGTTCGGAAACGCACTAATAAATGTATTGATTGGATGTTATTATTTTCTATTATTTCCTATTAACATCACGTGACTTGACCTAAAGTAGCCCGGTTCATCTCGCCAATCCCTTCACCTGAAAATCTAATGAGAATTTTGCTAAGTTGTTGGTTGTCGAATACATTTAGCATGTCAAATCGACGAACAGAATGAAAAGTGAACGTCACAAAGATTCATCAAACTGTAGTCTTCATGAGTTGATTTTCGATCTGAAACATTCACTGTATAATGTTTGTGTTATAGAATCTATGAAGAAGCTTTGGCCTATGTACAGGATGCGGCTGGTATTTGAGGACATACAGATTTAAGATTAATACTACTTCCCACTAATTTCTAATGCTTTTATTTTTCAAAAAACAAGAATGGCAAACCATATGAAATAAAAAGACATGCTGTGATTGTGGCATTAAAGGCTGATCATAGAGATTTGGATATTGCACGTTTCCTCAGAGTTGCAAGATCGTTTGTCCACAAGATACGAAAAGAGTTAGAAGATGCTGACAGTTCCACAATGTCTGTATCAAAATGTAAAAGACATTCTGTGCGTTCTGATAAAGTGAGAACATCCAAATTTATTCAGGAAGTCAAGCAGACAATTGATGAAAACCGAGGTCAATTAATGAGGTCAATTGCCAAAAAGCTGCATGTGCGTGAAAAAAGCAATCAGGAATGTTTATGAAGACATTCGATACAAGTTCTACATGATGAAGAGAGGTCAATTTATGTCTGAAAAACAAAAGGAATATCGTTTAAACAGATCGAAAAGACTTTTAAACAAACTTAAAAATCCTTCAGAAGCTGGCGTGATTTGGTTTTTCTCAGATGAGAAAAATTTTGATCAAGATCAAAAACTTAATAGAAGAAATGACAGAAAGCTTTGTTCAGATCCCTCTGAGATGCCAAGAGTGATGCGCACAAAATTTCCTTCAAGTGTTATGTTATTGGATGTTGTTAGCAATGAAGGACATGTTATGCTACCACACTTTTTTCCACAAGTTCTTAGAGTAAATGCTGCTGCTTACATCGATGTTCTAGAAACAGTTGTCAAGCCCTGGATTGACAACATATGCAACGGCAGGCCTTAGATATACCAGTAAGACTCGGCCCCATCCCACAAGGCTCTACGAACACAAGAATGGATGGCTGACTATTTGTACGACCACATCACATCCAACATTTGGACCCCTAACTCTCCAGATCTCAATCCACTAGACTATTATGTGTGGAGCGCTATTGAGAAGGAGGTTAATAAACAGCCTCATAACACCAAAGACTCTCTTAAAGCTGCAATAGTTCGAGTTCATATATAACGTCCAGTTAATCAGAGCTTGCAGCTGATTCCGACCTCGTGTAGAGGCAATTACTGATGTTAGTGATGGTTTTATTGAATAAAATTAAATAATAGTTGGCTAAATTTCATGTTTACTTGTTTGTAATCAAATATAATTATATTCATTTGTTCAGCAAGTTTTTTTCCTAATCCATAAAATCTGTCCTCAGATACCAGCCGCACCCTGAATCCTGGACATCAGCGTCAGTGATCTATATTCGGGCCCAGATAAAAAAAAAATTGTATTTTGAAAGTTAATTTTCAAGGTAAGTAGGCCTTCATCCTTGGAACAATTGGCGCAACACATTTTTCTCAACCAGCATTTACTTTCATTTGAACTAACAAAGAAATTAGAGAAGATTGTTACGTCATTTGAAAAGGTTAAGCATTTTTATGGAATTAGATTTTGTAAAAATTGTTTGTATTTTTAATAGGTGGGTTGTTGAGGGTTTTGCTCAGCTTTTGGTTAATAACTGTTCGTTTCAAATTTTACATTTCATTGTTTGTTGGAATGATTTCATTGCTAATGTATATATATATATATATATATATATATATATATATATATATATATATGTATGTATATATATAAGTAACGAAAATCTTGTTAATCCGTATGGATATTCCCAAGGAGGATGAAATCCTGAGAGCTCAATGTTAATTCAGAGCGAATAATTTAATTTTAAAGGAAAACAGACAACTTTAAGGCTCCATTGTAATAATTTATTTCACCAGAGACTTTTATTTTTTTTCTGGATCTTCAGACATCAATTTCAAAAGGTGAAATGAAAAATGAAATTAAAATTTACACTTTTGACGGGCAGTATTAAGCTTATATCAATTGACATAGAGGGTAACGAATATATATATATATATATATATATATATATATATATATATATATATATATATATGTTTGCTGTCCGAAGGAGATAAGAGTAAGTGAGAATTATTGCTGTTGTGCGAACATTACGGCTTACTTTAAATTCAGGTTTCTTCCCAGACCTGATGTCTTCTTGCCTAGAAGCACGAAAATGTTCCCAGTTCCTTAATCTTTGATGAGCTTGTCCCTTTGAATATAAATCCATGTGCGTGTTGAGAGGCCATAATTTGGTTATATCCTGTTTCATTGAAACTTGTGACGACGATTATTGCTTGCGATTTTCGCTTCTTGGAAATAGGTTCGTGTTTCATGTGGCATGTTCGCAATGCATGATTGAAACAATTCTTTGTCGAATTCCTTCTGAAGATTATTTGGCTTCGTTTCTGATATTTCTTTCTTTGAATTTTGGTTAATTTCTAAAAGACCAGAATAAATGAGAACGGGAACAAGACGAAAAGGAGGACAAAGAAGAGATTAGAGAAATAAAGAAGATGAAGTCTTTTTTGTGTTTCGAAATAAGAAAAATGCCAGGAAGAAGAAAGAAGGAAAAGGATTTAGAAGGAATGAGAAAATAAAATTTGTTAAAAAGAAGAAAAGATTGAGAAATAAAAAGTATATCAATAATGAAAAAGGTTGAAGAATATATGGAAGAAGAAGAAGGGAATTTTTTTGAATAAAGAAGAGTAAGAAGAAGAAAAAAGAGCAAGAAGAAGAAGAGCAAGAAGAAGAAGAGCAAGAAGAAGAGTATATTGGAGTGGAGAGTAGTAAATTAGAAGACAAGACGAGGAAGAAGTGAATGAGAATGAGAATTATGAATGCAGTTTGGAAGAAGGAAAAATCAAAACTGAAGAAGAAAAGAAATATCAGAAAACAAGTAAATGAAAAGGAAAAATGAAGGGTTAAGAAAAATCAGAAAGAAAAGTAATAAGAAATATAAATAAATACAGAAAAGAAGAAAAAGAAAAGAGAAGAAAAAAGAAAAGAAAGAAAGAAAAAAAGAAAATCAATAAAAGAAGAAAAAGGAAAATAAAGGAGAAAGGAAGGAAAAAAGAAAACAAAGATAGAGAAAAAAGAAAAAACAATGAAAGAAGAAAAGGAAAAAAAAGGTAAAAGAAAAATCAAATAAAGGCAAAGGAAAAGGAAAACAAAGAAAAAGAAAAAAACAATGAGAGAAAAAGAAAGAAGGAAAAAGAAGCAAAGAAAGATAAAGATCTATAATGCTGATTTTAAAGGCAGAGATGCACACGCCATTATAGAATCGATGTTACATAATCTGTCGACCATATTTTTCTTCTCTTATAATCTTGTTCTGCCTTCAGCTTTATTTAGCAAATAAATACTGCTACCGTGATTAGTGTAAATTATGACTTCAACTGCTGAGTAGACATCTATTAATTAGAAAATCGTCGCTAAACATTCTTCCTATCAAACTTTCCTTCACCTCTGACTTTCCTCGATAATAAGCTTAGCTTAGTGTTGTGGATTCCGAGATGAAATCCGGTACCAATAAATAACAAACGCCAAGAATGAATATAGGGAAATAATGTATTAACATAATAATACAAACTGTTAATGCAGGTTAGTAGTTCCAGGAATACGGGTTAGTAGCCAAATATCTATACAGTCTTTGGTATTGAAATATCGCTGTATTTCTTCCTCGCTAGGTTCGTTCTGTCTGTATGTCTGTCTATCTGTCTGTCTGTTACCTTCACCCTCAGTTGCTCTCGTCTCGCTCTCTCGGGTCTCAACGTAGCAGTAGTATATGTATATACTGATTCAGTCCATTTGTGTAAAAAGGGGAGGACCCCTCAACACTTAGTAAATAAAAACTGACGTTGTTGTTAAGGTAGTTGATATTCTAGAAGTTCTAGAATCAGGTTTAAAATCGAAGACATCAAATACCAATTACCCGGGTAGATTCTTTTCTCTTCGAGAAATGATTCCGATTTATTTTTTTGCCCCTATGTAACCCATCCTGAGTTAAGGTTCAGAAATATCTAGAAAAAAAAAGGATTGATTTTATTCGGTAGTTAAAATAAATGTTATTAGACTTCTGCATTATGTTTGGTCAAAGAGTAAATGTTTGAAGTCCCAGGGAGAATCGAATTCACTTTATCAAATCTTCGAAAGACGCTAACCATTATCCCAGGGTTGAGTGGTGTACAACAAGTTCTGTTCGATTTGTAGCCATTGTCTATTTTTCGGGCCACTGACTTAGATATTTTCTTTTTGCCTCTGGAGGATGTAAACTATTGCGAGATAGAGTCGATAAAAATCATAAACTTCCATAGGTGATTATGTTACCTCATTTGATCAGAATGCCAGCTCTGGCGACAGAAAGAGATAACATCAAATAAAAAATTATATGCTTTACAAACGTGTAGGAAACTTTCATTTATTTTTTTTTAATAAAATATGGCAGTGATGTGAAAATATAATTGAGAAAACAAAATCAGTTTTTTCAAAAGTGCGCTGAATCCATTCTTTTTCATTATTACAGAACATCCATAATTTTTTTAGACTTTGAACCAAGCAGCTAAGGTCGATTCTTACAGATTTTAAACAAAGTGCAATTCAATCGAAAAGCTTAAATTACTTACCATGTATCTAGTCTCATTGTTATGTATCTTTTTTGATCTGGCCTCTGTAAATTGCTACTTTCTTTTAAGAAAAAATATTTAATTAGCTCTGCAGTTGTTTAAAAAAAAATCGATCGCAAAAAGTGTCCTTACAACTTTTATAATATTTTCGCATTCGAAAAAGTAGAGAATAAAAATAATTCTGAAAAATAAATCAGGTTCATTCGAAAAAAGATCAAAGTAAATTTCCATCAAGAAAGTCTCGACAAAAACACATTTTTCTATCTAGATATTTATGTATTACACATTCACTTCCAGCCGTCGTCATATTGATCAAACAGTTAGAATACAAGGGTAGCCCTAATTTTTAATCTACACACTTAAATCATGTTAACATTCCAAGAATTAAACAGAAAAGCAGACCCCATTCGTTATACATGTGACGTCCATACAGCCAATAATAGCAAAATAAAGAAGTTTTCAATTTTAAAATTTCAAAATTAACTCGAAATTATTCCAATTTTAAAATTTCTAATTTACTTCAAATATTTATTGATATATTGACTTATTCTTTATTTAATCATTCTGTCAGATTTAATCCATATTTTCAACTCACATTTATGTATCTACGGCAGAAACACCCTTTTATTCCTTGGAAAAATCACTGAAATCACGGCTAGTACAAAACCATATTTTTTTCCAAAATAAATACTCTTATGATAAAGGTTTTATTTATAAGTTAGATACAATGAGATATTCGACACAACAACTATTAACAAATAACGGCAAAACTAGCATAATACCCGTCAAAATGACCCAGTTTACTTTGCATTGATAGCGGAAGATGACTTTTTCAAAGGCATCGTGCGAATTAAACAAAGCAGAGCTGGCTAGAAATTGAACTCGGCTTGCTGATTTTAGTTTTCAAGGTAACAATACTCTGACCATCCCCACACCCATTTAGTGCGATCCACATATATTAACAATACATTGAATCTTGATTAAATTGAAATTCTTAGTCAAGTTGTTACAATTTTATGATCAGTGTTTACATATATCGCATTGTTAAATTTGACGCCATCTTTTCTTATCTGAAAATTAGAATGCTTACAGCGAAATTAGAATGCTTACACGGAAGGATGAGAGATATCATAACTAATATATATATATATATATATATATATATATATATATATATATATATATATATACAATTATATAAGTAATAATAACATTTAAGTACTTTAAAAATTTAATAAATAAAATAAGGTTAATATTTCAATTACATCAGGATATAACAATGTATAATAAATACCATAAAATTTCAAATTATTGACTTACCTTTGTCACTGCATTTTATTATATTATCTCAGTTATTGAATTAAAAAAATAATAACTGTGAGAATATAATAAATTTATTTATTATATTATCTCAGTTATTAAATTGAATTATCATATTATCTATAGCATTCATCGTTAGGTTCATTATAGTATTCTTAGCATTCATCGTTTGGTTCACTATGGTATTCTCAGCATTCATCGTTTGGTTCATTATGGTATTCTTAGCATTCATCGTTAGATTCACTATGGTATTCTCAGCATTCATCGTTTGGTTCACTAGGTATTCTCAGCATTCATCGTTTAGTTCATTATGGTATTCTTAGCATTCATCGTTAGGTTCACTATAGTATTCTTAGCATTCATCGTTTGGCTCGTTATGGCATTCATCATTTAGTTCATTATGGTATTCTTAGCATTCATCGTTTGGTTCACTATGGTATTCTTAGCATTCATAGTTTGGTTCATTATGGTATTCTTAGCATTCATCGTTAGGTTCACTATGGTATTCTTAGCATTCATCGTTAGGTTCATTATAGTATTCTTAGCATTCATCGTTTGGTTCACTATGGTATTCTTAGCATTCATCGTTAGGTTCATTATAGTATTCTTAGCATTCATCGTTTGGTTCACTATGGTATTCTCAGCATTCATCGTTTGGTTCATTATGGTATTCTTAGCATTCATCGTTAGGTTCACTATGGTATTCTCAGCATTCATCGTTTGGTTCACTAGGTATTCTCAGCATTCATCGTTTAGTTCATTATGGTATTCTTAGCATTCATCGTTAGGTTCACTATAGTATTCTTAGCATTCATCGTTTGGCTCGTTATGGCATTCATCATTTAGTTCATTATGGTATTCTTAGCATTCATCGTTTGGTTCACTATGGTATTCTTAGCATTCATCGTTAGGTTCACTATGGTATTCTTAGCATTCATCGTTAGGTTCATTATAGTATTCTTAGCATTCATCGTTTGGTTCACTATGGTATTCTTTCATTATCGCATTCATCGTATTCTTAGGTTCATTATAGTATTCTCAGCATTCATCGTTTGGCATTCATCGTTTGGTTCATTATAGTATTCTTAGCATTTCGTTATCGTATTCTTAGCATTCATCGTTTGGCTCGTTATGGCATTCATCATTTAGTTCATTATGGTATTCTTAGCATTCATCGTTTGGTTCACTATGGTATTCTTAGCATTCATCGTTTGGTTCATTATGGTATTCTTAGCATTCATCGTTAGGTTCACTATGGTATTCTTAGCATTCATCGTTAGGTTCATTATAGTATTCTTAGCATTCATCGTTAGGTTCACTATGGTATTCTTAGCATTCATCGTTAGGTTCACTATCGTATTCTCAGCATTCATCGTTTAGTTCACTAGGTATTCTCAGCATTTCCGCGTTTAGTTCATTATGGTATTCTTAGCATTCATCGTTAGGTTCACTATGGTATTCTTAGCATTCATCGTTTGGTTCACTATCGTATTCTCAGCATTCATCGTTTAGTTCACTAGGTATTCTCAGCATTTCCGCGTTTAGTTCATTATGGTATTCTTAGCATTCATCGTTAGGTTCACTATGGTATTCTTAGCATTCATCGTTTGGTTCACTATCGTATTCTCAGCATTCATCGTTTAGTTCACTAGGTATTCTCAGCATTTCCGCGTTTAGTTCATTATGGTATTCTTAGCATTCATCGTTAGGTTCACTATGGTATTCTTAGCATTCATTGTTTGGCTCGTTATAGCATTCATCGTTTAGTTCATTATGGTATTCTTAGCATTCATCGTTTGGTTCATCATGGTATTCTTAGCATTCATCGTCGGATTCATTATGGTATTCTTAGCATTCATCGTTGGAAATCGAAATAATTAATGAAATACCATTAAAGAGGTAACGCAGTAATTTATTAAATGTTATCAATTTAATAAATTTTATAGTATTTTAAAGTTTTACTATATTTTAAGAATGCATCTTCAAGCGTAAGGTGAACTAACTAAAAAAATTCAATAAAATATTAGATAATTGCTTAAGATATTTTGTTAATTTTTTTAAAATTACCTGGTAATTAAAAAACAAAAACAAAAGCGTTTTTGCTTAGAATTCATCAATTTATATTGTTGTTGTGAGATTTTGATTGTCGTTCTAAATAAAAATACTTAAACCAGGCTTTTAGCAAAATTTTGGTTTCATTTGTAGGAAAGTCGGTGTTGCTTACATTTTTTAAAAACGAAGGGGTCAAGTATAAGATAATGTTATTGATAGAAAAGAAAGGTTGACTCGTTC